TCCCTATTGTATACAGTTAGTTCCTTGCATTGTCTTTTACATAAACGAACAGCAAAAATTAAAATGGGAAAAATGCTTTGTTTGCTTGCAAAACTCTAGGAAAAAGGATTGAAGTTTTAAATCACAGCCATCTCCTAAATCAAATGTGTAACAAGGGTGATAATGAGTGTAAACACACTGAATAATAAAATGTAATTTGCGTTCTGAGTTCTAGGGCTCTAATCCAAAGCTCACTGATGCCTGTGGAAAGGCTGCCATTGATGTGAATTAGGCCTTGGCTTCTGTCCTGAACGAACACAATACCAGTGGAGCTATTCATGAGAGAAATGTTTGGAAATAAATCACAGGAACCTGCTGTGTCGGAACCCAATTCACTTGCTAATTCAGGCAGTCATGTTTCACAATGCTTGTTGTGTCCATACTTCGTCACAACCCCTCACATGAACTTAGCAAATTCAATCTTAAAAAAAATCATTCACTGCTGTAATTGGAAGGTTGTTTCTGGATCATTACTGACATGTTTGAAACCTCCTTTAACTTCTAGCCTAAAGCTATTTATGCCAATTGTTTCCACTTGTTTGATGCCACCACAGTCTTCTAGTCTTTATACACTATACTTTGTCTTCACTCTATACAGTTCTGGCAAACTACTGGTGGTTGTCCCATCTCCTCTCAGGCTTTGCTTTGTTTTCCTAAATAAGCCAGGCATTTTCATTTCTTCTTAAGTTGTTCATTCCCTGTAGCCTTTATCTGAATCTGTTCTCATTTGGCTTAATTTGTCTGGGATACAGACAACAAAACTTGCATTTTTAGTAAGGTGTGATAGCGCTCTATATGATGTTAATCCTTTCCTTGCTTTACTGGAAATACTTTTCCAGATAGATCCAGTATTTCCTTTGCCTCCTTATGGCTGCATTTCCTGATCGCTTTTATCGAGTGACTTACAGAATCTTGGTTCCCAGGTGAGCTCCCATTTAGTAGTAGAAATGGTTGTTAGTCCAGGAGTGCACAGCTTTGCCCTTTTAGCTTGTGTCTGTTACTCCAGTGCTCATTTCTTCCTCGGATGGTGCTCTGTCCTCTCAATGGTGCTCTGTCCTCTGCATTAGCTGTCGTAAATGGTAACAATCAAGCTTGAGTAATCAGCAGCCTTAATTAGTATGTTCCTACTTTGTGCTAATTTTGTTAATAAAAAAAAAAAAGAGCTTTAGAAACTGCTAGAGGTGGTGAATGATGGGTGATGGGAGCTGATGTAAGGTGACAGTAGAGAACTGGGGAAGGGTGCCCAGTGTTGGGCAAAGGAATGGTGAGATGAAGAGAGGACTCGGAGCCCACGAGGGAGAAGTGAGAACTTCTGCAGTATTGGTCAGATGAAGGCTGCTTGCATTTGCTGGAGCATTACCTGGGTCTCAGAGACGTGCTTGGGATGGATGAAGACATGCTAAAATCCCAGAAATAAATGCATAACTCGTGACTTTCTGCATTTTGACTTTTTAAGAGTAGCAACACTGCTGCTTAACTTTGGACATTCCTTTATTTTTCCTTCAGGAGTTTTCCTTAAAGTTTATTTCCCTCCTTTCAGGAGTTTTCAAAGTATTCCGAAAGTTTCAAGACTTACTTTTTAAAAGCATTTTAAAAATACTGAATCCTAAAAGCACTTCTAAAGTTCTCAATTGAGAGGATTATGAGTCTTGAATAATTTATCCACAAAACTTAAAAGGAAGATAATTTGCTTTAAAAGGTCTTTAAGAAGTATATGGTACATTTTCTCGTAGACTGGAATGACTCTGAAAGACTTTTATCCAGACAAGTACATTCAGCAGATATTAGAAGTCACAGGCAATAGCAATTAAGGCATAAGGCATTTCCTGGGAATTAATATCAAGCTGGGAGGAGTTGGGATAACTCAAGATGCAGCTGAAGGCCATTAACTGCAGTTGATGATTAATGACCTCTGCTGAGGTCATTATTATTATCAGCTGAAAATGTAGAAAAATTCAGATGTTTGAATCTTTTTAATGAGAGATGCAGTTTCAGTCGGTGCAGTAGATGCATCCCCACTGTGGACGGACTGCCCATATTAATATAGGCCTGACATAGAGGGCTTGATGTCCCTCCTCCCCACGGCATTTTTAGGAGCGTTAATCAAAGCAGGATCTCTGAAGCTGTGCCAGTATCAAATTGAAAAGTAAGCAGAATAAAGTCCATAGCGCTTTAATGTTCTCCTGGTATTACATTTGGTGTCCAGTACTTAATCAGCTTTATTTAAAGATACTCCCATCTGTCCCTTTCGGTGCCTGATGAGAATGTGCCTCAGTATGGGCCAGAAATGTGTCCAGAACATTCCTTGTGCTTACAGTTCTTGGACCCACGTTTGAAATCTCATCCTCCCTTCTTTTGCATTATGTCCCTAAGCAAGATGTAGGTTCTGGGTTGTCATATGCTGTGCACAACGAGGGCAGGCACACGGGGCTGGCCAGTGCAAGAAAATACTGCTGTGTCGATACAGGGAGAGTCTGTTTCCTCATAAATAATCAGTTGTAATAGATAGTGACTTCCCAGTGCCCAGCCCAGTCCACACATGGTTTCTTCGACGGTAGTAAAATGTTTTTTTAATATAATGAATGATTTCATTCATTTAGGGAAACTGAGAGCCACTACAGGGGACTAGGAAATGTTCACCTTGCTGCTTATTTTTACCTTGTGTGACTTCTGTTTTAGTACCTTGCTCATCTCATATATATACGTATATATAAAAAAATACAAACACCTTGATATTTCTCATATATATATATGTAATTAAGTTTGTCTGCTTCAAGATGCTTCTTATAAAAGAGGTCTGAAGAAGTCTGAATTAGGTAATCTAGGTATCATAATGACATAAGCTATGTTTCTGAACACTGCGTAAGTCCTGCTTTACACATCCCCTGTCCCTTTCTCTCCCTTCCCCCAGCCCTCTCCACCCTGGTCATTGTGAAGGTTGTAGCATCAAAATTCCAAGCAGGACAGGACTGAGATGGCTGCTGCTTTTGGCTGACCTTTATACAAATGTCACTGGATGTAGACTTCTGCTCAGGAAAATTGAATTTTGCAGAATTGTAAGCAAAGCAGTTAAAAAAACATAACTCAGGTGTGAAGTGTTGACAATTTGAACGTTAGGTGGTATGACTAGACCCACTCGTACAAACCCATCAACCTCACGCTGCCTGTGGGATTACGATGTGCCTTTATTCGCCCTCAACCAAACCACCGAGCTCTCTCCTCTTTTTTTTTTTTTTTTTTTTTTTTTTTTTCTTCCTCCAAGGTCTCTCCTGTGGTGAGAGGAAGAGATGAGTGAGGTCGGGTGAAATGAAATGAAAATCATGAAAGCTTAATAGACCGCAGGGAGGTCCATTTGAAAGAGTGCCAGAGATGGGATAGCAGTTACGGGGAAGACGACCACAGACCTGGCAGTGAATGAAAGGAGATCTGGTACATGCGCGTCAGCGTTTCACACTCCTTGCCCCAAAACTGGCCTGTTTTCGTGGTTAACTCATTAACAGATGTATCATGCTGACAGTAGGCACTCTCACAGTGCTGTTAGTGCTCCCTGATGGTGCTTCACCGTGCTTCAGGATACGTTTTTCTAAGAAGTTCTAGATTCTTTGTCTTGCTTGTAAGATCAACAGATGAGAACTGAAGTATTGATGAGATTACATAAATTGCATTTTCTATTTCATCTTCTGCAGCCTCTACCAGTTATCCACTCTAAGGGACAAGAAATTGTTTCCCTGGATGAGGAAAAAAAGTTGGTTTTTAAAGCATGTAAAAATGTGCTTCATTGCAGATATATCAAAGAAAGCATCAGGTTACTGTAATTAGACAGACACCTGACATAATAGCCCTCGGTGTTTGAAATGATGTGGCAAATCGTCTCAAACACTGTGTTTTTCAGGATAAAAAACTCTTAAAGGAAGGGGCTTTGCTCTGGCTGATTCTCCATCTTCTAAGACTTAACTTGGCTGCAGCAGTTAAAATGCTGGGACTTTGTGTGAGACTCTGTGGATGGCAATCTAAAATCTGCGTAAGCACAAAGGCTAGACTAAATGATAGCCGCTCCCTTTCAGTCTTAATATTTTATGAATCTGTGCTTGTGTGACTGAAAAGACCTGTGCAAGTGTGTCAGAATTCATGTAAGGACTTGGGTTTTATTTGATGGTGTGGAACTAGTCCTCTGTGTGCTCGTAGTTTGCAGAGAAATTGCAGAGAGTCTGATCCTCCAAGGCTGCTGACGTACCTAGAATTTCTGTTGATCTCTAGGTCCATAGATGTGGTACACTCCAGACCTTTCTTTTACGACGTTGAAATATCCATATTTGTGTCATGTGCTTTTGAACATGGGGTTCTACAGCTAAACATTTTTAAGCCTGAAATTTGTCTTTGGTACGGGGCAGTATCTTCAGTTATCTAATTTTCTCCCTGCTGCTACAGGGACTGTCAAGGAATGAGTGTGTATCTGCACTAAGTATTTAAATGACAAAACATGCAGGAAAACATAACATGCCATACAAAATGACCCTGCAGCGTTGACGTGAATGTAACCCTCAGTTACAGCGGGCCTAACTGTGTGTGCTGACTCCATTGTAATTCAGCACAATGTTTGCTTTTGTACAGATGAGACCCCAGCTGTCTGGTGTTTTCAGTCACATGCCCCTTTCAGCTTCATTTCGTAAGTCACTGTCGCGGTTTTGCTCAACTTTTACGAGAAGTTCAGTAGCTGCTGGGTTCTCCGTTTGCAGACTCCTTCCCCCAAACGTTTTGCAGAGTTCAGCACATCCAGACTGGTGCTTTCCTTAGCTTCTTTTCACAGAGCCCTTATTAGCCTGTGGACACCCACCCCAAAGGCCACAGTCTGGAACCTCCTGGTTAAACAGTGCTCGTCACGTTTCAGATGATCCTTTGACACAGACTGACGTGACAGAGCGCAAAGTTAATCTTCAGCATTTTTTCTTTTTCGTTTGCAGGAAAAATTTGAAGGCTTGTTCCGTGCCTATGATGACTGCGTGACATTCCAGCTGTTTAAAAGCTTCAGGCGTGTGCGGATAAATTTTAGTAGTCCCAAATCAGCTGCTCGTGCCAGGATAGAGCTGCATGAAACGCAGTTCAGAGGCAAGAAGTTAAAGCTGTATTTTGCACAGGTAATGAAATCTGCTATCTACCTCGGTGTTAGTGCGTAGCCTTCATACAAATGCTGTGCAGTAGCACTGAATAAAAGTAATAAAAGTTTCTCCCATCCCCAATCTCTCTGCTAAAAGATTGCTGAAATGTCCCGGTGTTGCCTGAGCTGTTCCTGCCCAGTGGGTCTGCAGTAAATTTAAAGGGCCACTTAGGACCCAAGTTGCTTATTCAACATGCAGAAGTCACATAGCTTAGACCTGATTTACAACACTGGGTGTTTTCTGTGGGTAGCTCTCTAAACTAACCATAAAAAAGCCATAATGTATCATAAGTTCATAAAAAAAGTAGGGCTGAATCATTTATTTGACCACAACCCTGAGCCACAGTCAGGCTTTCTCCTGCCTTTTTGTTTCTTACTTGAATACAGGTGTGACTTTTCTAAAAGGAATTCAGTAAGTTCAAATAGAAGGGAGAAGGTAGGGGGAGAAGAATACCCCCAGCCTGGGGCATAGGGGATTACATCCATCTGTGGGAAGTGAGATGGGGGTTTCAATTCTCCTTGGCCAAGGGTGAGAGAACCCAGATGTCTCATAGCTTGGGTGAGTACTAGGCTCCAGCCAGGGCATAGAAACGTGAGGGAGATTGAGAACACATCCACTGTCTCCTCTGAAGGTATTTTAATAAGTTGCTGTGGCCGTTGTGGCTTATAGGATACTCACTAGTGCTTATAAGCAATGGAAGTGTGCTTTGAGCTGCCAGATTGGTCCTTCAGAGGTCTTAGGTTAAAGTCAGGCTCCTTTGAAGACATCAGTCAAACCCAGGAGGCAGTTAAATTTTAAGCCTCTAAAGCCTGGTCAGAATAGGGGCTGTTTTGAGCCTAGGCAGAAGCAGAACGTCAGGAAGATGGGAGACTACAGTTGTGAAAAAACCAATATGCTTAACAGGTTAGATGAGTTCAGACGATTTTACAGCTGGATTTAGGTGCTGACGGTCTACCTCAATCCCATTTTATATGCTTTAATCTCCTAGATCTGCCTCTGATTTTTTTCTGAAAGGTTTCAAAACGTGCTGTTAAGCAGATCTGAGAATCATTTCACTCTAACTGCACAATCAAAAGGTTAATAGGAAACTTGGGTTAGCACAAGAAAAATATGCATAATAGTGATAAGTCTCCCTATCTCAGCTGATTTCCTGCAAAGCCATTTAGGTGTCTGCACTACGCTCTCCACTGCATGCAGTCTTAAAAGAGCTCATTAGTTGTGTCCAGGGAATGAACATGCAGAAGCAGCACAGTGTCTGGAACGGTATATGTTCATATGGGCCCGAGCCAGACTGGATAAGCACTTCCAGAGCTGGCAGTTCTGGGGAAGGTGGAGTTGAGAGACTCAAACTGGCTCTTTGCAAAACCCAGTGTGGTATAGCAGGGTGCTATCTCAGGCTTGCTGTCGTGCAAATGCAGTTTATTGCTTCTGGGCCTGAGCTGGTTGTAAACTTGCTCAGGTATGGCTGTAGTATGATTCTGTTGAGATTTCTTCAATATACCAGAAAAAAAGCAGGAATTAAAGTAGATAATTTAAGGTGGAAATAAAATGAGAAAGATTAGTTGCAAATTACTAAGGAATGCAACAGATTCCTTTATCACTTCAGCTAAAGAAATCAAATCTTCAGAAACGTTTTCTGAAGTTACTGGTAAGGCCTTGGTGCAGGAGTTGCTGATTTCTTGTCTAATGTCTGTTTTTGTTTAGGAGTTTAGGCAAGTAGATCACAACAATATCTTTTCAGCCTCAAAAATCTCTGAACTAGCAGCTGTGGATACCAATGCTCTGCATTTATCCTCAGAGAACATACAGTAGGCACAAACATTGCAGCTTTGCTCATATGACAGCCCCCCACATGTATTTACTGTAGAGGAACCATCTGTAAGGTTGAGATGAAATTCATCTCCAAGCCTTCTCTGCTGAGACTGACGCTGAAACCCTGCCTGGGTGGCATTTGGTATTAGAAATGCATGATTGGAGTAATCATTCCATTTACCCATCCTGTACTAAACAATGTATTTGTTACGCTTTAAAGATTCAGACCTCTGAGACAGATGGAGACAAGCTTCACTTGGCACCACCACAGCCTGCAAAGCAGTTTCTCATCTCGCCTCCAGCCTCCCCACCTGTAGGGTGGCAACCGATAGATGACGCAACACCTGTCATCAACTACGACCTCCTTTACGCAGTTTCTAAACTAGGACCAGGTAAGTTCGTGGTCCTTGCATGAAACTGTGTCAGAAAAAGCAGATGAGAAATAGCAGCGCAGAGAGTAACTGTAGAGGAAGTTGGGGTAAAGCCTGTAAGTTGCATTAAAGCTTCGGATTTAAGTCGGTGCGTGTCGACTGGCTCTTTGCTTAAAAAGACTTTTGCCGTATGTACGTACAGAATTATGTCTTATCTGCAGCTCCTGAGTGCTCTTTGACCGGATGGCAGATCAGAGCTTCTTGACACAATTTATCGTGCTTGGGTTTGTGCTTAGATGCGACAGCGGACGGTTTACGTGGGGACTGGGCATATGCTTGTCCGTGAGTTTCTGCTGTAAATCGCGTCTGCTCGGTACGGCTTTCCAGGGTGCAGAATGCCTCATCAAATGTTTAGGCATCGCTGCGTCTCCACCAGAGTGGAGAATCTCTCGCGTTAACCAGTTTGTCGAGAGAGAACTACCATTCATTCCCCAACCCTGGCAGGATTGCTCTGTTGGGACTGCCCATTTTCTGTTGAAAACTGCGTGCAGAAGGAATGGGTTAAGCTGTAGCCTCTATCGAAACAGGATAGATGTCAGTGCGTATTGCAGGTAGACTTTCCTCTGTCTTCTCACCTTCAGCGAAGGCCAGGAATTGAAGCTAGCTGGGATTTTCAGAACAATGCTTTCCTGCAGAATATGATCATCTGATGAAACCAAAACTTTTCATAGGAGAGGATTACTTTTGATTGAACTAAGTCATCTTTACAAATAGTTTTCTTTTCTCTTTTACAATTGTCAAAACAGAAAAGGTTCCAGTTTCAAGTCTAAGCAGTATCATTTAGAAATTACATTTGTAAACTATAAGAAAAAATAGCTTGTTAAATTGTTTTCATACTGAAATAAACCACTTCAGATCCAATTTAATAACAGTTGAGGGGGGTGAGGTTGTGAAAATTGATATTATCAGAGTTTTATTTTCAAAATTCTTGTGAGATGAAAGGATTTTTTTCTCCCCAGCTGTACTGAAGATGCTGCTTTCTTGTTGAGACTAGCTTCTATTGCAGACATCTTATCACTGGGGCTTTTGTGTAACTGCACCAGAGTAACCCAGAGCTATGAAGAGCGTAGGGTGCAGGAAGAGATGTTCTGTGCTTCACAAGGCTGGCAGGATCATCTCATATCTTTTTCACATGGGATCTCTCACAGAGGGAAAATACATGTCAGGAGAACATCAGAGATTCCTGTGTTTTATTCCCC